ACTAGTGGGACTTCTCACAGGGCATTGTAGGCTCAACAAACACATGAGTACGATAGGTCTGACTGAAAAACTGCTGTGCAGATTCTGTCAGGAAGAAGAGGAAACAGCAGTACACATACTTTGCCACTGTGGGGGCTTGTCAAGACTAAGGTTCCTTACGCTGGCTGAGGAAAAACCAGAAGCCCAAAGATACACAGGGGATCTGAAAGCTAGCCTATGGAGTCTCATAGAGAAGGCGGGGCTAGCCGAAGAACTCTAATCGATTTTGAGGGCAGACACAATAGATCTGAAAAGGTCGCGGTGTGGAGGCAGATAGCCCGGAGGCCCCATTCTAAATCTAATATAATCTAATGTTGGGACCTCCAAATAGACCATGTATGCCATCTTGAAGCGCACAAAAGGAAATTCCTATGATGTCGTGTTTTGTGTTTTGTATCTTCAACAGAATCGCTACCGAATTAATAAATTCCATATTAGTTAGTTCCGATTCGAATTTGGATTTGTTAATACCGTGTCAAATATATTTTTCCAAATTTGAACCTGGTTGTTTCTATCCTGAAAGTGATCCGTCCCAATTTGAATGTGTTTATTTTCCATCTGGATGTGTCCATGCTGTATCAGTCTGTCCCAATTTGAAAATGATTATTCCCGTTTTGAAAATGATAAGTCTCAATTCGTGTGAAGATGAAAATTTTGGTTTCAGATAAGAAATAGAAATACATTTCCTGAAATCAACATATATTTTCTCAAAATTATATCATACATAAATAGATGAAGAAACATACCTACAATTTCATCTCAATTACATATAAAATTCAAGATAATAATTCGATCTCATAGATAATATGAAATAACAGTAAAAGGCACCCAGTATTACGATTCAAGAATCATATATTTACAAATTTAAATAATATAACTAAACAATGTTTTTATGATACAACGTAATCTTTGGTTTTGAGAGCTGTATGAAGTTTTACTGAAAATCTTCGACTGATCAAAAATTTATCAGTAAAACTGAAAAAAGTGCAAACATGAACAGTGCAATTTTTATAAAATTTTATACATGTATTCAATGGTGGACTCAAATCACTCATCAGAAGTTTTCAATTTCGATACTCTGAGCACTTTTCAAACTGGTGGTAACATTCGCCAATATTTTTATACATACCTATAGACTAGACTGGTCAATTTCCCAAAACATAATTTACATGAAATATGTAATTTTATATGGCTATCAACATATGCATTGATACATTCAGGATAGAATTTCATCCCGTGGGATGATTATAACTTTCAATCTATATACAAAACATGATTTCGATACTAATAATATAGTACAATCATCAACTAAGCGTACATTTTTTACTTTGGTCATTCATGGACGGAATAAATTTACATTAATTATGGCGTCATTTAATTCACATTAATGGCATTTTCAATTTCAAGACACGGGTAAAATTCTTTCAATTTCCATGGCACGAATCTAGTGATGGCATAAAAATGGCAAACTAAAAATATAACCTACATTTTCACATCGTAACGGTTGAAAAATTTTACAAAATTCTTGATTTGCAAACATCAGGGTATTTCAGCTGTGATCTTCCAAACATCAATACATCAAAAAGTACTAATTATGTTAAAGAAAAATTTCATGAGATAATATATTCGTTTTGATAATTATTTCCATATTCTTAAGCCGCACCAATCATCAAGATGAATCGTTGCAGTTTGAATGGACTGTCTATATAGAAAAAGTTGTGAAAAAACAAACATTCCTTTTCAAGTCACGTCATCAAACAAAGTTGTTCACTATTGGGAAAAAGTTCAATATTTTGAAAGGAATGCTACACAATTTATATCGCAAAACATTTGCCTTCAGTGAATCATATATTATGGACTTCAAGTGTTATTCCGTTTTACATAACTGATTTGAAGTGAAACTAGACAAAAGCGCCATAATGCTAGACCCTATAATTATAATCATAGATATATAGGATTATTATTTTTTGAGATTTTGGTATAGATATCAATTTGAGAAGCTTCCCCAGAACAGTTTTCCTAGCAAGACGATCTTCACATGACGATATTATGTACATTTTGATACTAGTGTATATATTTGTTATATTTTTTCAGATAGAGACTTTTTTCTGAATACATTGATGTCTAACAAATTGACTTTCGCACAAAATTTGTTAAAAAAATTCATGTTTTGTTTTTTGTTGACAAGGAACAGATCTTTTCTTCAAATTTTCTATTGAGTTATTGAAGGTTGAGTCCGTTCCATATAAAATAGGCATTATATGTACTGTTGAGAAAAATTATTCATTAAAAACAGATGACTATCTTAGGAAACAACAAACTATAGAAAAAGTAAAGAATGATCCATTTCTTGATGACGGGACAAGAATATTTTTCAACTAATTTTGTGCGAAAAGCAATTTTTTATATACATGTACCCAAAAAAAATACAATGCCACTTGAATACAAGAGTTGACGACCGCTGTTGTATAGTTGTAATTGGAAAAAGAAATTGTTAGTGCCACCTTTTTGAAATTGGATAATAAATACGGGCACACGGTCAATTCTTCAAGGGACTTCGACTTGTTGTTTGGATAATCAATCTCACAAATATTAACTGAGAATGTTTCCATTTTATCTGAGCTATTCTATTAGCATGAATGTCGAATTGACATAACAGTATTCTTGAAAGAACTGCAGACTCCTTCAGTTGTGATTGGTGCATCGAACGAACCCATATCTTCAATTTTAGAGTTGACAGAAATTATAAAAAAATACCCCCCTTTATGGCTGGCTATCTATGACAATATGACTCTTTCAATCGTTGACGAGTATACAGGGTATCCCAAAATTAAATATTAAGGTTTCAACCACAGATTCTAGGAACGAAATAGTGAAAAAAAATCATGAGAACATGATCCCAGAAATGCCCCTCTGAGGAATTTCAGCCATCTGGAAGAGGTCCCGACATGATGTTTTTTTTTGTAAATATCCCCAACTCTCTGTAAAATGTTGAGAAAATTCCGAAGTTGGAAGTTGGGGCGTGGGAAATAGGTAAGGCTAAGGGCATTTCTACCCCCAACTTTTTTTTCTATACATTTTTCGGCAGTGTGACCAGGAAATATGAAAATATCATCATTTTTACCTAAAAATGATACACTTGTTTAGTTTCGATAGCACTCACCATTTTCGAGATAAATTGATTTTTAAAGTCTGCTGCGTAATAAAAATTGTACTTTTTCTCTATAGGGTACCTACCATATTATTTTTCAAATCATTATTTTCATTGTTCCTCTCATATTTTGAGTCGAAAATCACAGGGTAGATGTTGAAAAAAGGATATTTTCTATCAAAAAATAATTTTTGGGGAAATTTGCTACCCTATTATACAGGGTGTTCTTTAATGACATGTTAATATTCAAGGGGGTGATTGTTGGACCCATTTCAAAAATGAAACTTCATACGAACGTATGTCTCAAACGTCCCAACTTCTGAGATACAGGGTATCGAAGTTGAACATATATCTATATAGATTATTGTTTTGTCCACCCTGTATAGCTCTTCATGATGGCAAAATTCATCCCAGTAATAGCTGTCCTGAATGGAGCATTTACATCAAAATTTCAAGTTCGATCTCGTTTTTTCGTTTTATCTCGAACGGAGCGTCCTGTCGGGTATCAACAGGAGGATCTTTTTTGTACAAAATTGAATGACTTTTCGTAGCATTTTATCAAATTTGGAAATATTCCTTCGTTGCTCACTTTCAAGTATGATATAATCAATCATATCCCCCTAATGGCGCCACTGGTAGAGAAAAAGAAAATTTCTGTACTTCAAAAAATGCACCTTGATGCATAGAAGATATATGGAAAATTTTATAAAGATGACTACAATATTGTTCCAGTTATTATTGAAAAACTGTTTTTTTTTCGAAACTTGATCACACTGTACCTCAGAAGTTGAGACTTTTAGGAAATAGTTTTGTTCTTGAAATGCGTTCAAGAATCACCCCCTTGAATATTAGCATGTCTTTAAGGAACACCCTGTATAGAAAAGCACTATTTTTTTACGCAGCAGCGACTCTTAAAATCGATTTATATCGAAAATGATGAGTGCTATCGAAACTGAACAGGATTGTTATTTTTAAGGAAAAATTATGATATTTTCATATTTCCTGATCAAACTGCCGAAAATTGTTGGGGGCAGAAATGCCCCTAGCCCCACCTATTTTCCACGCCCCTGATCAAAATTTCAGGAAATTCTTGATATTTCCGAATCGGTCATGAAAAGTTATATACATGTACAAAATTTCTTTACCTTAACACAGGGGGTTTCGGAACTATTTACATATATCCATCATCTCGGGCTCGCCTTTAGATAGGTATAACTATTTATCGGCCATTTCTGGACCCAAGTTTACATAACATAAACTATCCATTTTTGTTTCTAGAATCTGTGTTTGAATTCTTTCTATGTAAATTCGGGACACCTTGTATATGCCGGCGTCAATTAGTGATATCTGTCATTCCTTAAAATGCCTAGTCATCAAGTAGCGTAACAGCGTAACTTCCATTTTAAGCCGTTGGAAGGTTGAAGAAGGAAAATACCCTTTCTGCATAAGCATTAAATAAGGAGATTACTTTTCCCTACACAATCTAATCGAACTCCGCCTAAATGATCCTCATTCCCAGAAAGTATATTTTTGAGAAAATTACTTGAGAGAACAGAAGAGACTACTGTTTCTCAACAACCAAGCTGACTCGGCCAAAAAGAAACTTCCTTCCATCATCACACGGAATGCATGAAACTATTAGGCAAACGGTGTACGAAATTTAGGCTGTGTTAAGTCATTCGTTCGACCACAGTGGTGATACCAGGATGATCAATGGTTGACTTGACTCCAATAAAAAAATAACGTGGTAACTTTGGCAGGTTTCAAACGCGACCGATATTCCCAGCAGTTGGTTGGTCAAACTGATGGTCAGACTTCATACTGACCGTATGTGCCCGGTCAAACCACAGACTTGACACAGCCTTAGAGTTACTTTGTTTGCCGGCAATACTTGAAATGACTGGACATTCCAGGGAATGACAGATTTCACTGTTCGACGCCAACAAAGGTATACAAATCGAACACAATTTCCATTTCCAGCAACCTACTTCTTCCTATTCCATCGATGTTTGGAAAATTTGGCAAACGTGAGTTGATTCAATACAAAACAATCTCTATCACGACAATTAATCCCACTTTATTCGCTCAACTGCTGCTGCTGACTTCGTGTTTCACCTCCTGCATGATCTCGGTGGGCCTGTACATTGCCGAAATGACCACCTCTGGAGGAACAGAGGGATGCTGCGACTCTCGGTGCCTCCTGAGGTCCACTTTCCTCTGGAAGGCCTTTTCGCAGAGACCGCAGGAGAAGGGCTTGTAGCCGGTGTGTTTGCGCATGTGCGTGATCAGGTTGGACGATTGGCTGAACGCCTTGGAACAGACGACGCACTTGTGGGGCTTCTCGCCTGCAACAAGGGGATTATCAGTTTTGCGGCGGCTATCGGGGGTGGAGAGTGGAGAGACTGTACAGGGTGATTGCTTATATTTTATTCAATAGCTATCTCAGCTAATATTGGTCTTACAGAAACGTTCCAATGGGCAAAAGTGAAGTATTTTCTTGGGGCATTCAGAATCTATTACTAGAAAATGAGAAAAAGCATTGTAAACCTCAAGATGGTTTTTCATTCTCCCAATCGATAGAGCCCTTTTTTCCCGATTTCAAATATATGTACAGAGTGACCCATTCGAAAGCGGGCCATCCTCATAAATTTTTCATTTATGGAGCGAATTTCAAGAATTTTGTCCTTTTTTTCAAAAAATCCAGGCCTCCCAGATAACATTCAGAGGCTGAAAATTCCAGAATCCATATTAGCGATTTAAAAAAAACATTCCGCGTACACCACTGGAATCGGCTTGCTCTGAAATAGATATGTACCAAGTTTCATATTCAACATTAACGAATCTACAGCGTGTCTCATTTCAAACGGCACCCCTTTATATCACAGCTATTAGTCGTGTGATCTCTACCAAATTGGGAACAGTATGAATGACCATCAATATGATCAGTTTATCTGAGACACACATCCTTTTGGACAGTGCCGTGCGATTTTATCGATAATATCTGAAGAAACCACACAAAATATTAAAAAATCAATTCCGCATACCTACTATAAGAAAAACGAAATAATCAATGAAGATAATTATTATTATTGTTTATTTGTATATTGTCGTTGAACTATCTTGACAAAGAACACTCGCACTTTCATTTTAATTGAATAAATTTACTTATACTAACACAAACATTTTCCATCAGTAATTGCTCTCGAAAAACTGATATTATACAAAATTGCTCGACCTACGCTCTCGCAATTCTTTCATGTAAGTTTTGCTCGTAAAATTACTGATGTTTTTCGTTATAGGAAGAGGAATTTATCCTATGAAAAAAGCTCTTGTGTTTTTCCTGTTGATTATAATGTTATTCAGATTGTCAACATCCTCACACTCTCCCTTTTTTTGTATCTCTTGTTTTTACGATTTTGACATGCATGATTTATTTTTCCTCTAAGAAGTACGAAGTCTATCCGAATCTCAACCTTCGTCATACATTTTTTTTTTATGGAAAGGTGCAGCCGAGGGATACATTGTGTTAATAACGAGGTTAATAATTTAACAGTTTTTATTTGTCCACCCTAGAACCACCAGTCGATGACGAAAAGATATTGATAGCGCGCTATGATCGAGGCCGGAGGCAGAGAATTCAGCATTCCATGTTAAAATAGTGGTGAACGTGTTAGCGTTATTTATACATAATATTGAAATTTTTGACATTTTGCATTTACTTGATGGATAGGAAAATCAAGTGTTACCAGAGATAATTGTTGGTGTTGTTGTGTTGTTACCTGTCGGGAAGTTGAATTGGAATAAAGAATTGTGTGGAATAAGGTTGGTACCTAGCATATTATAATATTAAGGGTTATTGTTTAATAGAAACAATTGATTATCAACAGAGTATTGTTGCTTTTGGGTGTATTGTTGATGCACATATATCTGAGAGGTGTTGCCTTGATATGTTGCGAAGGGATAGCCCTTCTATTTTAATAGTATGTGGATTTCGCAGGTTAGAGAGGTTATGCCTTGATCTGCGAATGAAAAATGTATGTTATGTAACTGTGCAGGGTTTGTTTGCATGTGTGGGGTAGCATTGTACGACTATAATAGTCGAAAATATGCTGTATGCTGCATACGTCAATGTCAGAACAGGAACATAACTAAGTATTCGTACCTGCGTGGTTATATATCATTTATAATAATTATAAACCTTTTTGTACCCGTTATGAGACTGAAGTTATATAACATAATCTATGAGAATGATTGTTGCGGGTGCTATTGATATTTCAATCCCTTATTCTACATATCACTTCGTTTATTATATAGATTCTCGATTAGTTTTACCAGACTCGTGCAATATGGAATGATTTATGATATCTTGACTGTTGTTATTGTTATTCATCGATATTGTGAGGCCGCCCCTGGCCTGGTCTTATCCATCTATATGATGAATGAAAAAAAAGTAGATAATGTTATTTCTTGCAAAAATTGTTTTCCTTAGCAATATTCGTTTTACCTTGTTACTTTCTCACTAATGAGATCAATTGAGTTAGAAGGAGGTGAGACGGATCTGAGTTGTCGATTGGATGAAAAGAACACGTTTCTATCTGTCAGGAAGGGCAAGGGACAAAACATAACCCAACATAATTCAACCAAAATGGCTGAGTAAATTAATGAGGAGCATAGAAATATCGTTGTAGTGAGTATTCAAAGGATTTAACCTGATGTGGACTGAAACTTCAAAGCTGAAAGCATGACAAAATTCTCACCTTTTTTTCACTACAACACCAGATGAATAGCAAGCTCAGTTGGGGCGAGGGGAAAGAAATAGTCTCAATAGGTTCTTAAGACAACTCACATCAGACTAAGATGAATGAAACATGATATACAACTGAGCTATTGAGCTGCACTGAGAATCTTGGTCAATCTCAGTCAAAGTTGGTAAAAAGAATATTACTCTTGTTAAACTCAAATTCGGAGTATGCGCATGTGTGTGATGATATTAGACGATTGGCTGAACTCTCTGAAGCAAACATGAACACGTTCGAGGGGATAAATGGGATAATTAAAGTTTAGGGGCTTCTGCTGGGGATGGTGTTCGATGGTATACGGTTTCATGGATGAAACTGATACTAACATAATAATTTCCCTAACTGATATATTATGTCGGAATATTGATATGACCAATATTATTTTCGTCGCCTGCAACATGTTTAGACAGAACCACATCGAGTAGCGAAAACAAATTAATGAAGAAGTGGTTCAAGTAATCAATCATGTCCCCGAAATAGGAAAACAACCAAAAGACGGATGGATATGATCGTGAATTTTTTTGGAAACAAACCCGATTCATATTACCGGGAAAACTCACCTTGCTGGCTTATTCAAGCAAATCGCTTGATAATCTTTCCATCAGGCAAGTCAAGGGATTTTCTAAATTTTTCAATAATTCCTTTGCAATTCAAGACTTCAAGGAAAGGTTTTCAAGTAGGTACTTAGTTTAGTCACACAAGTCAACTTTCATAATATATGTTCATAACCACCTATTTTCAAAATTTTCAAACACTTGGAAAAATTGTACTGCAAAAACAAAGAATCCACTGTCATTTTCTACCTTGTTATAAGATCATATTGTCAAAAATCAATGATCAGAATTCCACTTTTTCGAATCTTGCTATGATAGCAATATCTTCTCGACCACCATATTGCTATTTGCAAACAGAATCGACCCGATTGAGTAAAAAAAATTAAGAAGTTATCCAACATTGACACCCTGTATCTCAAAAGTTAGGACGTTTACGACATATGTTCATGTGAAGTTTTATTCTTGAAATGGGTCGAAGAATCGGCCCCTTGAATATTAGCATATCATTAAGGAACACCCTGTATACAATGGCATAGCACTACAGAAAAAATTCCGGTAATAATTTGACCTCTGATGGTATTACGAGTAAAAATATTGCACGTATTCCAGAAAATATCAATGAAGAAGTTCGCTAGTGAAACATGTATTCACTATCAAATAATGTCGAGAATCAAAATTATGATAGCGATTAGGGTCTCTATTGTGATATGACTGTCATATAGTAGCCACAATCACTTCGTCGTAAAAGGGCCCTAATTACAAGGTGCATATAGCATATAATAACTAATTGCAGCAGCCGCTATTGTTGGTGAACTGATAGCAGTACAATATAAACAGTTCACAATCAAGCCTAATCATAACTTGTTGGTAATAATGTTGGTTTTGAAAAGGTTGAAGTTGCTATCGCTGGAAAAACTATGAATTATTATTCCTTATTGAGAATTATCGTAATGATTGACAGCATACTCATTTGAAGGCCTTCGATCACGATGACATACTTTTTCAAATGCACGCTATGAAAGTAGCGAAAATATACATGCTCTTTCTAAACACTATTCATCGTCTCCTTTACTATACATGTACATGCCAAATAACTCCTTTGATTCTTCCATGGAAAGCTTTTCATCATTTCAGTCGAGTGAATTATTCAAAAGAAAATTACATATTGCCATATAAAATCTGAAGGAATAAAAGAACTACAGAACTGAAATTTTTATAAGAAGAGATATGAATCGAACGTTCTGAATGAATCATGAACGCAGTCTTTTTGTAAATTGTTCTTGGCATCTGTTTATGCAATTTTGAAAATATACTCTGCATGTTATCTTGCTGTAGGAGAGTTTCACAATAACAATGAAATATATTCGTTCTATTGTAAAATATAGGTCAACGTTGTTTTTTGTAACTCTCCCTGGAAAATGAGAATAATAAAAATACCACACAGAAATTTGTGCAAAATCTCACCAATGAACCGAGAAGATGCCAATGCCAACTGCGTAAGCACTATGCTGTGAGACGATAAAGCCAAAATATTATGATTTGCACCATCTGACGATTCAAATATCGACTTTCAAATCTAGTTCGAATAGTACCGCAATAGAAGCTTCGTGAAATCAATTTCCTGCAAACATTCCATTTATATGCGGAATTAAGTAATCCGAATATCTGAAAATAATATATCGGTTTCCAATGAGATATTAGAACTGAGATATTAAGAACTGAGATATCAGATATCAATATGCCTCAATAAAACAAGCAATACTAAAATAAATACTGAAACATGTATAGCGAGCCTTTGGAGATAAATTTTGTGTAAGCAAAGCAGTCATCCAATATCTCATTCTATCTGACTGATTTGAAAAAGTATTTCAAAGATTCAGATCATATCGCTACATCAGAATTCACACACAAGTGAAATATATCAGATATACCTCAGGAGGTCAGTGAGATATCTATCAAAAACCATGATTTCTTCAATAGAAATAGCCATTC